TAATACTCCATTGTGTAAAAATACCACATCTTTTTCAACCATTCCTCAGGTGATGGGCATCTTGGTTGTTTCCAAGATTTGGCTATCACAGATTGTGCTGCTATAATCATAGGCACACATATATCCCTATGATGTGGTGTTTTCAGATCCTCCGGGAAAATTCCCAGTAGAGGAATAGCTGGTTTAAATGGGATTTCCAGTCCAACTTTTCTTTTTAATTTTTAATGTGTGTGTGTGTGTGTGTGTGTGTGTGGCCAGCTCAGCCCACCAGGGGGCGGGGCGGGCTGTCATGTGATGCTGGGGGATTGAACCACGGTCCCTGTGCTTTGCTAAGCTTGTTCTAAGTCGGTGCTTTAGACCACTGAGCCATCTCACCAGCCCCTCCCTCCACATTCTGTAGGGATTTAAAGTTTAACATATCAATACTTGATGGAAAATACCTGTTCCATGTTATGTCTAAAACGTTTGATATTCCAACAAATAGGTTAAGCTCAACTGCCTATGTTATAGGGTAATGTTATCATTAAACTTCTCTTTTGGAGGGTTAAGTTTGCAGACCAAAAATGAGAGAAAAAGAAGGCAAGGACATCCAACATTTTGGCCCTAGCCTTTCCAGGTCATTGAGGACTCAGGACATAGGAGAACCTGTACTGTAACATCCCATAACTCAGTGGTGTCCCAAATTTACTGATCAAGGAGATTATGGGGCCACGGAGGAAAGTGATCGATGATGTGTGTGCCTGGGGAAGAGTCACATGGAGAGAAAACATTCTCTCAGGCTTTCACAGAACAAATTGGTCAAGCAATGACCATGACTCATCCACATGGCTGACACTGACAAAGGATCTGCAAACTGCTGTACAGGGTTTCAGGGTAAATCCTGAGCGGATTTGACTGACCTTGTCAGATTCAAAATTTACATTTCTTGTTATATAGGTCTTGCTTTATCTTGGTCTTAACCATCCAGCAGAAAAGTATATGGGGCCAGGGAAATGGCTCAGTGGATTAAGCACTTCCCTGGCAAGCACAAGGGCCTGAGTTCAATCCCCGGTTCCACAAAAAAAAATAATAATAATTTCCAGCAGAAAAGTATAAAAATGAGGTACAAAAAGTAAAGCCATATTAAAATGCTGAGCTGTGAAAGGCTCGAGTCAACTTCTGACTTTGCCAGTCCTACGCATAACCGACTACTATTATGGACTGCTGGAGTATATTGGATTATTTTGCTGAATTCACGCAACTACAATAGTTAAATGGCAATGGAATACCCATCTCTGACAAAACTAAACAAAAACGGGATACAAAGGAAAGACCATTTTGTATCTATATATACAAAATAGGATAGATATACAGCTACTTTCTCTTAATTCAATGAGCAGAAAGATTTGTACTAATAGAGTTTGAAAAGGATATCGTATCTGCATCTTGCACTATGAATAACCACTATGAAGACTACAATATACAATGCATTATTGAAACTGTCCCACTAATTGGTTTTGAAACTGTCTCATTCCTATTTGTTTCTCAATAAAATTAATAAAAATAAATAAAGCTGGCTCCTTCCTTGTTCCTGGCCAACGGCCTTCTCACCCTTGACCATGCTGAAATGCTTCGATCATGCCCATCCAGTGGTCTTGGTCACTCCTCAGGGTCTAGCCTGACAACAAATTCTGAGGAGGCTGCAGGAGAAAAGGAACCTTCTGCACTGCTGGTGCAAATGTACCATAGTTTAACTGTCATGGAAATTGTCATAGAGAGTCCCCAAAAAACTAGAACTAGAAATTCCATTTGACCCAGCTATTCCCCTTCTAGGCATCTTCTTAAAAGAATTGAGGGTATCATATTACACTTACGTGTGCATAACTATGTTTACAGCAGCACAATTCCTCGTGGGTAACTCTTAGAAGTAGCCCATCTGTCCATCAGCAGATGGACAGATAAAGAAAGTGTGGCATTTGCACACCACGGAGTACTACTCTGCAAAAAGAAGGATCAACTTGAGTATCTGTAGGAAGATGGATGCACCATAAAGTCAAGTGAAACATCCAACACACAAGCACGGCACTCTAGTAAACACAGCCCAAATAAATAGGATAGAAGGAAGGGAAGCAGGCCTTTCTCAAAAGTGAGGGGATCCCTTCCCGTGGACCGTGAACGACTACACGCACACCTTGCTTCGCCACGACCCCCTGGTCAAACCCATGTCCTGGAGTCCCTTCTTGCAGAGGCCTCTACATAAAAGGAAAGGCGGCCTGGCGAGGTTCTCCAACGACCAGGCCATTGAGCTGGAGAAAAAGTTCAAAACACAGCGATACCTCTCCCTGTCCTGAGCGGAAGTGTACGGCCAAGATGCTGCAGCCTATCCAAAGGCAGATGAAAGCCTGGTTTCAGAATCAACGCGCTGAATGGAGAAGACTAAAACAGGAGAACCCTCAAACCAATAAAAAGGAGGAACTGAAAAGTGTGCACAACCCGTGCAACCAGAGGCGAGACTGGCCCAGTGAGCAGGATGCCGGTGCTTGCTTGGATGGGTCACAGTGCTCACCCTCCGGCCTCCTGGAAGACCCTGACGCAGAGATCTCAGAGGATTCCGACCAGGAAGTGGACACCAAAGGCGACAAAAGCTGCCTTAATGCTGGATGATGATCACCAGCACGGGCGTGTTTAAGGAACTAGATCGCGAAATAACATTTTGCTCCCGAAATTGTTCACGGAAGAACTGGAAAACTGGGTGGGAAAAGAAAACGCACTTTCTAGGGTTCTGGGAACCTAAAACTATTTGGGGCTCTGGCTAATTATCAAACCTACATTGAAGCCTTAATTTTAACTTAACAAATGGTATATGTACTAATTTTAGGTTGTTTTGATAGTCACCCCGCCCCCTCTTTTTAGAAAAAAAAAGTAACGTTATTTCTATTTATAAAAAGTAATTTTGAACTTCTGTTAAATTTTTTTAAGTTATAACTTTAAAGGTTTTAACGGACTTCTCTTGAGTGACTTTCTATAATCTGTAATTACATCTTTCTTAGTGGCAAAGCAAAAAGCACCCCCAAATCCAGTGCCTTGGAATAGGGGCCCATTTCAGACAGACTTGGAGTACTTTAAAAGGAAATAGTCTTTACCTTTATATGCTATTCTTAACTGTTGCCTTAAATCCGCAGCCATTGCAGAGCAGAGGTGACAAACGCGTGTTTTGGCCGATCTCTTAGTACCTGTTTGAAGGAGGGGTTAAGATAACTGTCCTACAGCCAGAGAAGCCAACTTATCACTGGAGCCTGGCAATCTCGGACGCACTAGAAATTCCAGGTTTCGTGCAAGTAGGCTGTAGATACTGTGTTTTATATTAAACAATGTCTATAACCTGTGTATATAGAATTGTTCACTGTAAAAAAATAAAACCGGCCAGAACTTAAAAAAAAAAAAAAAAAAAAAAGTGAAGGGATCAAGAAATGGAGGCGGAGGGAGAAAAGGGAAGGGGCTGGAAAAACGATTAGGGATGTGTTGGGAGCGTGGGCAGCCCCACACGAGGCATGTGCGGGTTATGTTCTCCAAACATGTACCACAAGACGAAGGGGAAGAAAAGGAAATCCGCGCGGAGAATATAAACATTATGCACTACACAGGTGGACAAATAAACTAAAATTTAAAGATCAATCAATAAAGGGTACAGATAGGTTAAAGTCTAGGATGGAGGAAAAGAGGCCAAGCTAAAACTGATCAAAAGAGAGCCGGAGTGGTCACACCGTCAGACAAAGCGGAGCAGGGGCTGCGTGCGGACGGCCGCCGGGCGGGGAGCGGGCCGGAGAAGCTCCGGGACGGGCCGGCTGTCTGCGCCAGGCGCACTGCCCGGGGGGCGCGCGGCAGTTTGTACGGTGGGGGGTCTGCACGGCGGGTTCCCTCTAAAGCCGATGCCGGACGCTGGAGGCGGGGCGGGAGCAGGAGCGAGCCCCTGGCGCCGTGCCCCCCACGCCGGCCCCGTCACTGCGGCTCTGCGACGCCGGCAACGTCCCGCGGCCTAGGCTGGGGGAGCCCCCGGGAGAGGGGAGCCCCCGGGGTAGAGGAGCCCCCAGGCTGGGGAGCCCCCGGGATAGGGGAGCCCCGGAGATAGGGGAGCCCCCGGGATAGGGGAGCCCCGGAGATAGGGGAGCCCCCGGGCTGGGGAGCCCCCGGGATAGGGGAGCCCCCGGGGTAGGGGAGCCCCCGGGATAGAGGAGCCCCCCGGGATAGGGGAGCCCCGGAGATAGGGGAGCCCCCGGGGTAGGGGAGCCTAGGGCAGGCAGGCCGACTGGAGCGGCGCCTCCTTTCTCGCAGAAACAAATCCGGGCGTCCCCGGCGCGCAGCCAGAGGGCGCCACCGTACCGTCCCGCCTCCCCCGCGACTCTGTCCCGAGGCTGCTGAGGTCGGATCCTAGGACTAGCCCGCCTCAGCGCGCCGGTCCGGGAGTCCCGGCAGCCCCAGCCTAGTGCTCCAGGGCCTGGCAGCCCGACGGTGCGCTGCCGTAGAGCGCCAAGGAAAGGCGACCGCATAACGCGCCCTCGACCGCCTGTGGCCGCCGCCCGGGCCCTCCTGCTGGGCCGGTCCCGCGCTGCTGCTGCTGCTGCTGCTTGCGCGGCCGGCCAGGTCCCGCTGCGGCCGTCCCGCTGGGGCCGCGCATCCCGAGCGGAGCAGATCCCCAGCCGCGCATCCCCAGCCGAGATCCCCTAGCCGGGCGTGGTGGAGGCCAAGGCAGGAAGATACCCTGAGTTTGAGGCAGCCTGGGCTGTATAAGTGAGTTCAAGGCCAATGTGAACTGCATAACGAGACCCTGTCTTTAAAAACCAGAGAGGGCTGGAGAGATGGCTCAGTGGTCTAAAGCACCTACTTAGAACAACCTTAGCAAAGCACAGGGACGGCGGTTCAATCCCCCAGCACCACAAGCCAGCCAGCCGCGCCCCCTGGTGGGCTGAGCTGGCCACACACACACACACACACACACACACAAAATGTTTAAAAAAAAACCAGAGATGGGGCCGGGGACATAGCTCAGTAGAATAAGCGCTTGCCTGGCAAGCGCAGGTGAGTTCAATCCCTGGTTCCACCAAGCAAAACAAAACAAAACGTTGTGATGTAGAGGTAATTTCTAAAAACCAGAGAGAATATATAAGTAAAAATAAAAACCAGAGAGAAACAGAGGCAGAGAGACCCTAGAGACCTGTTCCCTTAAGTGAGGATGCTATGTTCGGGCCTAGCATGAATTGTTAAAATCATTGTGGTGGTCATCTAATAGAGGCCCGTGCTCAGGCCCGTGCTCCAGGACCACCTTCGCCTTCTCCAGCTTAGCCCAGGACAGAACTTACTCTCACCCTTCCCGCCGCCTCAGGGAAGACCCCCACTCAGCTCCCTCAGGTATACTACACGTCCCTCCAAACTGCACCCCTGGCAAAAAGGCCATAAGAGGCTCGGCCTCCCTTTATCTATTCCAGAGAATTCCTTGACGTCCCTGAATGCTCTCCGTGTCCTCAAAGAAAATAAAGCCCTTTTCCTTTTCCTTCTGCCTGTTTCCCTGCTGCCCCGAGAACTTATCAGAGGATGCGTTAGCCCATGGAATGAATGCACGCAGCGTGGGTTTAACCTGGAGGACAGGATGTGGTTCTCAGAGGGGCTCAGCTGCCAGGGCTGAGGAATGGAAGGGGTGAGCCCGGCACTGTCTGGCACTGTGGAAGGTGCTACAATTATTCGCTTTAAAGAATACAAAATAACTTCGAAAAAATAGGGTATACAGATGAATGTCCATTTTGTATCTGTGTATTCAAAGTGGTTAGGATAGATATATAGTTGCATTCTCTTAATGAATAGAAT